TGCATCACATACCAGTACCGCATCACATACCAGTACCACATCACATACCAGTACCAAATCACATACTGGTATTGCATCACATACCGGTACCGCATCACATACTGGTAACGCATCACATACTGGTACCACATCACAAACTAGTACCGCATCACATACCGATACCGCATCACATACCAGTACTGCATTACATACCAGTACTGCATTACATACCACTACTGCATCACATACCAGTACCGCATCACATACCAGTACGACATCACACTTTTATAGAATAGCGAATAGTATTTGTTTTATTGATAGGATCTTTACCATGCGCATACAGAGGATGGCATTATACATCAGAAGATCCAAGCCGTCATTCATTGCTTCCTTGATTCACAAATCCCACCTCCTTTGCAAATTGACATCCCGCAAGAACAAGCCGAAAAGATTCTGGACAAGAGGCCCAAAGAAATGGGACCCTATGTGTTCAGAGAAGCTCAGGTAATGGCCGTATAAATATGTTTAAATGCAAATACCCAGAATTTATTTATTAACATTGTCTTCTATGGAATTGTAACACACAAAAGAATACCATGGGACATTTATTGCTACATGATTTTACATAATAAATTAATGAACATTGCCATGTGATTTATGAAAAACTTTCTCAAAATTATGAGTAGGCTTCTACCTTAATTTACTAAAATGTTTTCAATATTTAATTGATCATCATGTTTGATTGAAAGCCAGGGATGAAATTGCTCCTTTTGTCAGGCAGATTTGATAAATCACTGACTCCCTGAATAATGATCTAGATTAGACACTTTATTTTAGTGTTCAAGTTTAAGATAAAATTCAAAGATGTACCAGTAGTTTCTTGTGTTTTTTACCACCAATATATCACCTTTGCCTGCCAAGGTTTATTTATTCAGCCATTATACCTTGGCAGAAGATCCACTATAAACCTGTATTCCCTCTCAAAAAAATCAAACACAAGTGGCGCATGCTCTGGTACGTTTCCATGGTAAATAGAAAGCGAAGATAAGTGTTGTGATGCATTTTATGGGAAATCGTATGTGCAGGTTGCATTGCATGTCAGTTAAACTATGACATCATATAAGACGGCAAAATTGATTGGTTCAAATTTGAAGTTAATGCAAGTTGTTGTTACAAGAGCGCTTATTGATCCAGCTCTTTGGCATGTCCAATCAAATCAGTCAATACAGCTTTTCCTATGAATGCACAGGTTCATAGGAACAGCCATGGCTGGTCGGCTTTGAAACCATGCAAATCGAACACTGCAAAAGGATGTTTTGTTTGTCCTATAGAGGGCGCTATATCAAGAAAAATCATAAAAGATAATTATAAAATTACTATTTTTTGTGATTTGGAAAAACACAAAATATTTTACTTCCAGCTTGATTGTTCAGTTTTTAATATTAATAAATAATTTTCACTAAAATCTACAATTAGTAACAGTATTCAGTACACTACACTACACTACAATTAACATATGTCAATTTCTGCTATAAGTGTGTCCCTTTTCTAGATGTGAATTCATTTAAAATATGAAAAACATGAAATTAATTCCATTTTGTTTCTAGTTGACTGTTTTCAGGGTGTTATTTGCACATTGGGCAGACTTCTGTAACTATAGAAACACAATGGATGAATCCAAGATGGTAGAAGAGTTGGAAAAGAAGAGAAGACGACACAGAGCCAGGGAGAGGGCAAGACAGCGGGCATTGGAAGAAAGAGAAGCTAAGGTCAGAGGTTATCCAATGTATTCATAGTTTAGGTCGAGGTCATCTTATGTATTTGTAGTTTGGGTCAGAGATCATCACATGCATTCATAGTTTAGGTCAGAGGTCATCTTATGTATTTGAGTTTTTTGGCCAAAAGTCATCTTATGTATTTGTAGTTTGGGTAAGAGGTCAATTTATGTATTCATAGTTTGGGTCAGTGGTCATCTTATGTATTTTTTTTAGTTTGGGTCAGAGTTCATCCTATGTATTAGAAGTTTGGGTCAGAGGTCATCACATGCATTCATAGTTTAGGTCAGAGGTCATCGTATGTATTCGTTTTTTGGGCCAGAAGTCATCTCATGTATTTGTAGTTTTTGTTCGAGGTCAATTTATGTATTCATAGTTTGGGTCAGTGGTCATCTTATGTATTTTTAGTTTGGGTCAGAGTTCATCCTATATATTCGAAGTTTGGGTCAGAGGTCATCACATACATTCATAGTTTAGGTCAGAGGTCATCTTATGTATTCGTTTTTTTTGGCCAGAAGTCATCTTATGTATTTGTAGTTTGGGTTAGAGGTCAATTTATGTATTCATAGTTTGGGTCAGTGGTCATCTTATGTATTTTTAGTTTGGGTCAGATTTCATCCTATGTATTCGAAGCTTGGGTCAGAGGTCATCACATGCATTCATAGTTTAGGTCAGAGGTCATCTTATGTATTCTGGGTTTTTTGGCCAGAGGTCATCACATGTATTAATAGTTTAGGTCAGAGGTCATCTTATGTATTCATTGTTTGGGTCAGAGGTCATCTTATGTACTCGTAGTTTGGGTCAGAGGTCATTGTATGCTTATAATACACAAGGTCATCTTTTATAATAATAATTTAGGTCAGAATTTAGTCATCTTAAATATTCACAATTCAGGTGAGAGGTCATCTCACATGTTAACAATTCAGGTCAGACATCGTCTTACATGTTCATCAGCATCATATTTTGCATTTTAGGAAGAAGTTAGGCGGGCTCGAAGAGAGAAGGGATTGGCAGAGGAAGATGATGATGATTCTGAAATGCGTAGTCAGGCCGGAAGCACTGTGATACCTGCAAGCCCATTGGCTGATTTCCTGCAAGAAGAGGAAGAAGAGCAGCACATACAATGGAGATATTCTAACTACATAAAAGCCTTGGAGAAAGAAGAAGCTATTATGAATGCAGATGAGAAAGCATCTTCTATCTTGTCTAGCAGTGAATTAGGTATAATAGAATGTACTAGAATAGAATAGAATGTACTAGAATAGAATATAATGTACTAGAATATAATGTACTAGAATAGAATGTACTAGAATAGAATGTACTAGAATATAATGTACTAGAATAGAATAGAATAGAATAGAATAGAATAGAATAGAATAGAATAGAATAGAGTAGAGTAGAGTAGAGTAGAGTAGAGTAGAGTAGAGTAGAGTAGAGTAGAGTAGAGTAGAGTAGAGTAGAGTAGAGTAGAGTAGAGTAGAGTAGAGTAGAGTAGAGTAGAGTAGAGTAGAGTAGAGTAGAGTAGAGTAGAGTAGAGTAGAGTAGAGTAGAGTAGAGTAGAGTAGAGTAGAGTAGAGTAGAGTAGAGTAGAGTAGAGTAGAGTAGAGTAGAGTAGAGTAGAGTAGAATAGAATAGAATAGAATAGAATAGAATAGAATAGAACAGAATGTACTAGACTAGACTAGACTAGACTAGACTAGACTGGACTGGACTGGAATGGTACGCTATGGTATGGTACGCTATGGTATGGAATGGGATGGGATGGAAAGGGATGGGATGGGATGGGATGGAATAGAATAGAATCAAATAGAGATTAGAATATATGGAGTTTGTTATTCATTTCAATAACCTCTCCGTCATAGGTTCCATGACAACAAAAAGTGCAACAGAAGATGCTAAAGATGAGAGCAAATCTGATGAAACTGTGGAAGTGCATGGTGATAAGAAAAAGAGACTTTCAATAAGTCAGGACATGGATGGTAAGAGAACACACTACATACTGTGCATAAGCAGATATTGTGCTTCACTGTTTTACTGAGCATTCAGCATACATTTGTATTGACTGACAATCAGGGATTTTTATTTGCCTAACAAATCAGTCAAATAGATGGATTTTGTGGGCGACTCAAAATATGCAAGACCGGTAGTTTGATTGAGGCTATTCAAATATACATTAATAAAGAGTTCTGTGTATATTGTATTATTCTGAACCATAATTTAATATACATGATTTGAAAGCCTAACTATAGACGGACAAGTTCGCACAAACTTGTTTACATAATTATCACGTGGCAACAAAAATGATGAACCTTGTAAAGATGACTAAACCTGCGATTTTGAGATCAAACTGCGAATTTTTCAGGCACAAAATAGTGTCCTGGTGCATCATCACTGTGCAAGAATAAAATAAAATGTTTTTAATATTTTTAAAACAGTACATATATATTTCAAAGATGAACTTTTATACTGCATACATATCAGTATGCACTGCTCTGATAGTTTCCTAGGATTTTTTATACAGATAAGCCACAGTTTGCATTTCAACAGTACTATATGGCTACTGAAGAGAAGTCTAATTTGGAAAATTACAGATTGAAAGTTCAAGTGCTTTGGTTTTACTTGTAATAAAGTGATGATGAACATATTCTCTGTGTTGAAGTCAACGTTAAGTTGTGGGAATTACAGCAGGTGTAGCTTTAACTAGTTAGCAAAGAAACACGTAGCAATATGATTTACCCGGTACTTACATTTACTTCTGTGTGTTTTTTTTTCAGTCAAAGGTGTCAGGAAAATCAACAAAGGAGGAAAAGAAAATGACAAAAGCAAACAAACAAACAACATGGATGGCAACACAACTGATGTGCAGAGTGACACTCACAGAGGAAAGAAGAAGGTTTCCATGGCAATAGATGGCAAAGATGAAAGGCCAGGAAGTGGTGGTGAAAAAGTGAAAAAAGTAAAAATGACACTGAATGGAAAGAGTCCCAGACAGACGGTGCCAGCCTTAAAAATAAAGAAGTAATACAATTTCCAACCCATGTTTAATGTATCACCTGCTGAAAGCCTCCTCGTATAGCTGTAATTAATGAAACAGCTTCAGTATGTGATGTATTAATATCCTTAATATCCAGATTTTTAAATTCATAACAAATATCCATTTGGTTTGACCCTAATGTTGTTCTGAGATTGTCTGATGCAGCTCTAGGGATAACTTACATTTTATGTTTCTGAGGAAGAAAAACAAATTAATTAATTTTTAAATCTTAATCTAAAGTTTATTTTTAGATTTCAGATTTTGAAAAAGAAATTAGGATTAAGAATACAGAATTTTGTTTTGTGATAATAATTACTGAGAAACTCTTTTTTTAAATGGTGAAAATGTTTTATTTATTTTCCCACACATGAGACATGAGAGATGGATTTATACAAAAGGGACATAACATTATTTGTGAGGGGAAGGGAACCAGACTGGAAATCAGGTGGGATCACAGCACAAAAGCAATAACAATTGGCCCCAAAATTCAAATCCAGCCCCCAACCCCCAGAATTAATGTTTGCCCTTACTGAGTATGATTTGTCACCCTATGCCTCCAGTGTGTTCAATCTTTTCTGATTTCATAATATTTGCATATTCTAGATTTTAAAATGAATTATTATCAGGGAAAATGCATAGTTATTGAATTTTTATTTTATTTTCAGTTAAAGTAAATAATCTACAGTAGAATTGTTAAATATGGAGTCATATCCCACCATGATTTGGCAACATCTACATTGAGTCAATCAATATAAATATCAGTTGTATATTAATAACTTGGAGGACTATGTAAAATGATAATCTAGTTAGTTTCCAGTAATCCAGATTTGGATCAGGTCTATTTATCCAGGTTTAGGTAGTTTACACTGGTTTAGTCTAGTTTGGACTGGTTTGTGTCAGTTTATACTGGTTTGGTCTAATTTAGAATGGCTTGGGTGGTCAGTTTTAACTGGTTTCATCTGGTCAAGACTACATGTACTTATATACAAGCTAATGTGATGTAATTAATATATTATGTTGCAATGATTTATTTACTAGAACACTCTTCCATTTCATCGCAGTGCCTTGAAGTTCCCACCTAATGTACAGTAATATTAAATTGCAATAGTTAGATACCAAATTAAGATATAAATATAATACTGGTCTATTTGGTATCGGTGAATATATACGCAAGATGTATGCACTCTCAGCTTTAATTTATGCACCATGAAAACTGAAATTTACATCGCATTTATAGAGAGAAAACAAAGAAAGTAATTTATTTTTCATATTTTTTTTTTGTAAATATAACCACATTTAATAGGATGCAATTTCTTTTTTCTTAAGTTATCGTTTTCAAAATGAGAAATACACCGCAAGATTCTGCAATACTGAGGATTGGAAACTGTTTTGTGTTCTCTGGTTGCTATAATGTGTCAACCTTGAAAATATGAAATGTACATACCGGTATACACTCTGATGTAGCAGTACAAAAGATGAAACTGTGATATCTGAAAATTGGTATCCATAGGTAGATTACAAGACATCTTTGAGAGACTCAAGAATAATTGGTTTAAGAAATCAAATCTATAACCGAATTTACCTTTGCACAGATTACTACCCATGTCATTCGAACAGCATTCTGACAATAGCATGGCATCAGCTCATTTCAAAACAGCATTCTGACCAATAGCATGCCATCAGCTCATTTCAAAACAGCTTTCTGACCAATAGCACGCCATTAGCTCATTTCAAAACAAGCTACATTTGGCTGTTGCTCCAATATGCACACCTTTGGTCAAGCATACTATGGAAAAGTGCTGATAATTTTTTATATCATTTGGAAAGTCAATAACATAGAGAAAAATATATTTATAACAGAAAAGGGAAAACCTCTGATTATTGGAAGGTGAATTAATGCACATTGAATGCTTAGCAACCAGAGAACTAGTTCATTGTGAAATGCACTTCATATGAAATGCTTGTGAACTATAATCAAATTGATCAATAATTAATATCAGTATTTTATTATAATTTAAAAACAGTGAAATGTATCTTGTATTTTCATGCATAATTTGCGGGATTACTCTCATAAGACCACAATAACCAGCATTCCTCATAGATCTAATAACTTTAATGAATAAAACTTAAAGCGCGGTCGTCGTCGTGAAACACATGTTCAAATTACATGTAAATAAACAATGTATTTCACACGCGTTATATACGTCGCTATGAGTTCCATATTGAACAGGACGCAGCACGACGACTGCCGTCCTTTAATAACTAATATGATTTAATTTTTAGTTAATTTAGTTAATAATCTTCTATTTTCATTGAGAATTGACATTGACTTTTTTGTTTGTGAACAAAATGTCTGTCATGCCTGAAAAAAATAATTTTATGAAAAAATCCTATGCAGAATAATTTGTTGTTGTTTATCTTACTGAATTAATTAGGGTGGAGCTATTTTTATATTTTGTACAGAAATGATTTATCTTTAGTTTTATCCAATGATGTACATTGAATTTGCATAATATATTATAGTTATATGAAATAAAACAAGGTCTCATTTTTTTAGCTCCGCTGTCGACTTTGTGGAGTGGAGCTTATCACATGAGTGATTGTCCGTCGTCGTCCGTGTCAATGTTTTACTTTTTCGACTTCTTCTTGAAAACTACAAGCCTGAATATTTTGATACTTGGTGTATATGTACCTTGGGTAGACCTCTCTTAGATTTGTTCATTTCATGATGATATCTTTAATTGTCTAATTTTGGTGAATATTTTTGTCATTTTTGGTAAAAAGTGATATTTTTCGACTTCTTGTTAAAAACCGCAAGTCCAATTGCTTTGATATTACATATATAGGTACTACATGTGATTCTAACTCAGATTTTTTCATTTCATGATGATATCTTCAATTCTCTAATTTTCATGAATATTTTTGTAATTTTTGGTAAAAAGTGATATTTACGACTTTTTGTTGAAAACCGCATGTCCAATTGCTTTGATATTACATATATAGGTACTACATGTGGACCTCTCTCAGATTTGTTCATTTTGTAATGATATCTTCAATTCTCTAATTTTGGTGAATATTTTTGTCATTTTTGGTAAAAAGTGATATTTTCAACTTCTTGTTAAAACCTCAAGTCCAATTGCTTTGACATTACACATATAGGTACTACATGTGATTCTAACTCAGATTTTTTCATTTCATGATGATATCTTTAATTCTCTAATTTTGTTGAATATTTTTGTAATTTTTGGTAAAAAGTGATATTTACGACTTCTTGTTGAAAACCGCAAGTCCAATTGCTTTGATACTACATATATAGGTACTAACTACATGTGGACCTCTCTCAGATTTGTTCATTTTGTAATGATATCTTCAAATCTCTAATTTTGGTGAATATTTTTGTCATTTTTGGTAAAAAGTGATATTTTCGACTCCTTGTTGAAAACCGCAAGTCCAATTGCTTTGATATCACATATATTGGTACTACATGTGGTTCTAACTCAGGTTTATTCATTTCATGATAATATCTTCAATTCTCTAATTTTGATGAATATTTTTGTAATTTTTGGTAAAAAGTGATATTTTCCACTTCTTGTTGAAAACCGCAAGTCTAATTGCTTTGATACTATTCATATTGTTCATTTTTTAATGATATCTTCTGTTCTTTAATTGAAATGTGCATTGCTAACAGCGGAGCTATCTCAGCCGACTGGCTGCTTGTTTATTCATGTGATTATTTGAGGTGAATGCATCACATGCTGAAAGTCTCCATAGATGGCATAGATAGCCAAAATAATGAGGGAAAAAAAACGGTGTCATTAAGCGATTCATGTCTAAACTGCAACTTCCTCCATTGTTTTAATTCTGGACACTGTCTCACCGCACAGCTGAAATGTTTTCTAAAACTGATTTAAAATAAACCAAAACATTTTAGTAGATATAGCTTCATGTTTTTTCCCACTGTTACTTTTATTAGCTGCAAGCTATCTAATTGTAGTAACCATAGCGATTGGTAAAGGGATTCAATTTCTACTCATTCATTTATACATTGTAATTTATGTTGACAAAAACATGGATGTATCTTTTCTACTAAAAAGTTTTGGTTGATTTTAAAGCGCGGTGGTTGTCGCGCTGCGCATGTACAAAATTTGTGTTGATAAACGTTGATTTTCCCGCAATCCAATGTGCACTTCAAATGGAAACCCCAAGTATGAGGTTTGATCTGGGCGCGTTATGCACTGTTTACCGCCGGTAACTCTCTCGATACCTTCCAATCACATGAAAATTACCTAACTAAAGCTTGGAAACGTCTCAGTTCGTACTCGTTGATCAGCGCAACAGTCAAAGTTGCCATCTTTGTTTATATGAGACCCATATATCTCGCACATGCGCAGCGCGACAACTACCACGCTTTAAATCAGTTTTAGTGTCTTAGGTTATATTCTGATATTTTACAGTATATCAAAGTCTCCTCCCCCCACCACCGCATTCAAAAACATGCCACGCCCACTTCTGAGGTCCTAACATCATGTCTCTAACTAAAGCATTGAATCTCATCAACAGGATGTAAAAACAAATACAACACCAAGCAACACAGATACCAACTAAATAAATGCAGCGCCCTCTATTGGTGGACTTGTAATCTTCTTTTGTGTGATGAGAATTACCAGACTTGCCGATGGATTTTGCCAAGTCTAATGCAAATGTCAGCTAAGTGAACTAAAATACCATGGACCTGCAGAATGATTATTGTTCTATTAGTTCACGGCACTGACCCACCCGTCGGCAATAGCTCTGACCCAAAATTAATGTTCCGTAAATTCAAGGGCGGTAGTCGTTGAGCCGCGTCCTGTTCGATATGGGTCTCATTAAGTATATTTTTCCTATATCATTAGACACACTGTATTTAATAGGCTTTGAGAAAAGGCGTCGTAATGAACGGGCGATGAAAACATGTTAGTTCTCATTTTCCAAGTTAACCATAAATTTTAAATGTAGTTTT